TATTACTTATATGTTAATTTGTCATTCATCATTATATTTTAATTATAAAGAGTAATTTGCTGTGTTAGCTTAAAATCTGTACTTAGGACTATACTAAGTATCCTAGGTTGGTTGAATCTCACATCAGAGATTTAGAATTTTAAAAACGAGTATATTCCTTGCACTGAATTTTGTTGGGAGACAAAGGAATACGGATCAACTTGGGGCACCGAGACCATACACGAAGAAAATTGCAATAAGTCTTACCCAAGCTCCATTATATTATAATGAAAATTTCTTTCTTTCTTTACTTCTATCTTTCTACAAACGCTATAACTAATAACAGTAGGACTAGAATGTCAATATTTTGGGCCGTCAGTGCATTATAAGAGTAACAGGCAAATCTCATTATATACTATAATAGCACAATAAAACCTAAGACGTATAGGACAATAAGTGCTACTGTTAGGAAAATTAAAGAAGAAATTTACTCTGTAAATTCCAAAAAATAAATATAATAATACACCCTTCTCACCTTTTGATATATATATATATATAAACTTTTATAGCTCTTATAGAATGTCTATGTATGTTTACTCTTGCAGAAACTAGAAAATACATAAAATCAAAATATTCTGTTTAATATATGGCAAAAAATCTAATTAGTAAACTTAATTACCCTCTAACTTTCTAAGTTAAAACTCCTTACGTGTCCAAGTGTAATTAACATCATCCAAAGAACTTTGTTAGCTACGTGATGTGTTGAAGTCGTGTAAGAACTTCGAATAAATTTAGTTGATGATTCTAGTGTAACCCAGAATTCAGTAATTTTGTTTACAATGACTGTAGGCCAAATAAATGAATATCATTTACGTCTTCTGAAGGTAAACCGATAAAAAGAAAAATACAAACGTTTTGAATGATATTTAATTTCTAGTGGGATAACGCATTTTCGGTGGGGATCCGCAAAGTTAACATCACACCTGTTGTAACGCATCTCAAAAAAAGTATGTAGATACTTGTATAGAATGTGTCGTACTTTTGGTACTACAAAGTACTTAAATACGTAAAATCTTATAAGTATGCACAAAGCTACACAATAGGCTATCTGTGTTCTGCCCACCACGGGTATCGAAACCCAACTTTTAGCAACGTAATCCTGCAGAGTGTAGACTTACAGCTGAGCCACTAGAGAGTGGCACTTCACTAAGAATACAGATGTTTTTGAAAAGTTTATATAAATCCTGGTTTAACCCTTTCATTTTCTTTGTGAGAACGAATAAATTCGTTCCTCTGTAATAAAAATAAAATAAACCACTCAGAATCCGGCAGCTCTTGAAGGATTAATGTTATTATATTAAGAAATTCAACCGAGTCCAGAGGCTTATGTTTTAAAGACGACGTAATACATGATTCGCTATATTTTGACTTTTGTGATGTGACACTTTATTCAAAAGTTGTTTTCATGAAACCATTAGACTCACAAATAACAAGTCAGACAGATCTAAACATACTTTTTTCTTACCTATAGACAAAAATGTATTTTTATAAGAGAAAATACAACAAAAAATAATACGAAACATGTTTACCTGGTATCGTCTTTCTACACATATACCAGTCAGTAATGCAGAGAACATTACACTTATTAACTTTGTTATAACAAACTACCTATCAGAAGCATCACCATTTAGCGAAATGGTGTTAAATAACACGATTATTTTATACTTATGTTTCAGAAAGGAATCTGGAGCTGTCTTTTATTTTTAAGTTTTTTGTTTTTAACTCTTGCTTAGCTTGCCAATCCAACGCTTCTCTCATGCTTTTCTGTCACACTTTTCCTCTCGAGAGTTTCATCCAGTCGTTAGTGTTGTCATTCTCAGATCTAACCTTTCTATGATGCAACCATCTCTTGCCAACACGTTTCAACTCTAATCTAAACCTTGAATCTAAATCACTCTGGCAGATATTAATGTCATTCCTTGTTATTAACAATAAACAAAATTTCCTCTATAATGAGCTCTAGTAAGTCTTTTACCCCATTTTATACATTTCAAAGGTATACAAATATATATATATATATAGGTTATTCATCTTATAAATTAAAAAAGCAATAAAAACTGACTCTCTGTAAAAATTAACAAACACTACAATATTATAGTCAGCAGATGACAGCACTGTCACATATCCTAAAAACAGCAAATAAGCAAATTTGATTAATGATATCACATAGTGAATATTGAGGCGTTAATCTAGTAATTACATATTTAGGGACATTCCATCAGGTAAGATATTATTTCCAACACCTTTGTAATTTGTATGAATTCTATAATAGATTAGTATTTTTTACACATTAGTTTTCAATCAAGGTTTCTTTACTATTGTTGTTTTTAATCTTTATTGAGTGCGACAAAACCTCATTTTTTTTAAGTTTCAGTGATTTACTTAGAATATAAAGTTATGATGTGTTTAGAATAACAGATAGCATGTGAAGATTTATACTTTAATATAAGTCAGTAAATACTAAACAAAGTGAATTCGTAATGATGTATATAATAAAGAAATATAAGAAGCTATAATTGATGCGCCAAGTGCTTGCAAATCATATATAAAAAAAAAGTTTCCTACCCTTTTGGACAGAAATAACGAATACAACTTAACATTAACAAATGCAAGAAAAGCAAACGATAAAAACTAGGTGCTTTCTTATAGAAATTAAGTTATCTAGAAACAGACTTCATGCTGCCCCCAAGTGGCTCAGCGACATGTCTGCGGACTTATAACGCTAAAAATCGGGTGTCGATATCCGTGGTGGGCACAGCGCAGATAGCCCATCGTGTTGCTTTGTTGTTTTTCCTGCAGATTTCTTAGAACAACAACATTAATGGTTTGTTTGTTTGTTTGTTTTGAATTTCGCGCAAAGTTACACTAGGGCTATCTGCGCTAGCCGTCCCTAAGTTAGCAGTATAAGACTAGAGGGAAGGCAGCTAGTCATCACCACCCACCGCCAACTCTTGGGCTACTCTTTTACCAACGAATGGTGGGATTGACCGTCACATTATAACGCCCCCACGGCTGAAAGGGCGAGCATGTTTGGTGGGACGGGGATTCGAACCCGCGACCCGCAGATTGCGAGTCGAGTGCCCTAACCACCTGGCCATGCCGGGCCTTTTTACCGTTGTAAGTCCATCAACTTACCGCAGACCAACAAGGAGACCTGTCAAATAACACATCATATTATTGAAAACTTAAGTCCCCCAAATAAGATATGTATATTAAAGGAAACATTCCAATTTATTAGCAGTTCTGAAATACCTAAGTAACTAAGAATTTATAACATTTTTGTACAAAGTTGAAGGGATGTTACTACTAGTTGGACGGAAAATTCTCGTCATTTACGAAAAGTATTTATACCAATAGGATATTGATTATTGTTATGCAAAAATCTGAGTAATGTTTGAGTGTCATATATATATATATATATATATTAGCAGGATATACGGTAGCAATTTAGTTATTAATAGTCTGATTATTCGAAGTAACTAAATCATCAATGTGTCTATATGTTAAAGTAAATAAAGCTAAATTCACAGCTTCTTCTATGAATTAATGTTCATTAAAATATGAATAAGTATTAGGAATATCGGAATAACAATCCGGCACGTTAACCACTAGGTAACAAATAGCCGAAAACAATAGGTAATGTAAATCAGGAAAAAAAAGAAGAAAAAATGAAACTACCTAATAACATCATTTCTGATACAGGAATTTGTTATTTAGAAAAACATTTTATCTTATTCGAAGGATTATCTCCGTCTATTAAATTGCGTGAAGAAAAATAAGAGACGTTTATGAGGTTTCATTTATTAATGAGATATAGTTTTACTGATCTTTAAAAACGCCCCATTAACTTCAGAAAATTTGTCCAAAAGCGAAACAGTATATGAATGAAGTCTCTCGTAAATTCTAATTCGATAATGTTGGGTGGTTTATGGGTCATCTAATTGGAAATATCTATCCCTACTGCAAAGCTAGGAAGACTTCTTCTGTCTTGTTTTTCTACAATCGTCACAGGAGCTCTTAAAAAGTTGCTGAATAAGAACATAAAAGTTGTAAAAACCTTTTTTTTCTTTTTTTTACCCACGTCGTTGAACTTGAATTATTTCGAGAATTATCAGTCCTTACGAGCAACCCTCCTGATAGCAGTAAAACTAACTAATCTTTAAATCCTTCCTGAATAGTAGCGTGCAAAGAAGTAGTGAGAGTATTTTAAACATCTTATGAAGTCAGTTTATTCCATTCAAGAACTGATCAATATCGCAATCTCAGCCTTTTTTTGTAAACATGTTGAATTAATTACATTAAATTCTTGTTTTATTTTTATTTGGGCGATTGAGTAAATAATAAAGGCTTATAATTATTCTAACACAATAAGACTTTTGCCAAGTATTAAAAATATTCCACTATTGAATCATTTAGAAATAAATACATGATAGGCACAATAATTCTTAACGCAGTTACGTATGATATTCATTTTTATCCAGACAATTATGACCTTGATTATCGAGATTGTAAGTTTCCTACACAGGTTCAGAATAACTTATGAATGCATTAAAATATACTTTTACCGTTTTATCTTTATAATTTCTTGGCTAATAAAAAGAAACTAATACTGATAGCATAGTATTTGACTTCAGACTGAATCTGCACGTTTTTAATACAAGAAAAGATCATTCCCAACTGTCTTCTTGAATTGTCTGGAAAAACAACATTTAGCTATCTTTCATGTCTTAGTTTCGTAAGTTCTATAACAATCTTTCATGCATCTCTTAGGGATACATTAATTATAGCTATTACTTCTGAGGAATCTGATTTAAGTTTTGTTTAAGTACCAGAATATTAGCATTTAGTCCACCACTTTAATTATCTTGAGCATATCGAGTTGGTTGACTTTTGTTAGAATTATTTCCAGGGAGTTAGAACATTCTAATCATTTGAATTTGCTTCTTTTATTTTTTCATCAGATGTATTGCTATTGTTCGGCCTTTAACATCGAGGATGTCAAAGGTAAAAGCAAGAGTGCTCATTACTATGATCTGGTTGTGTAGTATAGCCATCGCTCTCCCAGCGCTACTGTTTTCTACCACAGAAACCTACAGCTACGGTAAGGAGGGAGACAGAATTTTGTGTTACCTTCACTGGCCTGACGGACGAAGTGGAGTTTCAACAGCGGATTACGTGTAAGTTTAATAACGAACTTTTTAGTAATCTTGTTTTGTTTTTGTTTGTATTTTTTTGCGAATAGCTTTTTGTTTAGTTTTGTTGAATTTCTCGCAAAGCTACTTAAAACTACTCTTTGCTAGCCGTCCTTAAATTAAAAGTAAAATATTAGAGCCAATAAAGAAACCCTAATTCTACTAGCTTCGTGGAGCTTTTATTTCCTTAAAATAATGTCTTCAGCATTTAGCTTACCAAGAAATGACCAAAGTGTGTACTCTCTTCAACAGAACAGCTATGATTGTTGAAAGAAAAAAATATATCTAAAAAAACGAAAGTTGTACTAACACGTTCAGGTGTATAAAACTTCTAATGTAGAGTTAATGGATATCAAACAAAAACCTTATTATACGTTTTTTTACAGTGTATTAATGGAAAACAATACGCGACACCTACAAGTACAAATAGGTATTTTCGAGAATATACCATAACTATTAATCAGGTTTACTAACTTAATGCTATATTTTTAATTAGATAAGACTGTACACTGATGTCCATTTTTGACTTGAAAATAACTTTCTGTGAATAAAAAGTTTTTTTTTAAAGAATGGATTTACATCCCAGTAATTTCAAAGAAATTAAAATGGTGTTATTTATTACGGTATCGTGTCATTCAAGTGTCTCCCGTTGAAGCAAATAAAAGCTCTCTCCGCACTTTGAGATCGTGGATATGCTAATTTATCGATGGTGAAATCCAACTCTTCAGTCAGATAACAATAGTCCAAAAGTGGTTGCTGTTGACTAGCTAGATGTGTTCCCTCTAGTCTGTCAGCTCAAAACTGATGAC